TGGACTGCAGTCCAGCAGGAGCGAGAAGCTAGCTGGTACTGAGTTCTGCTACAGCAGTGTCCTGCTGTCCGTCCAGCCGGAGAGGAAAGAGCTGGAGCAAGCTGGGTAACAATCAGATTTTCAAAATAAGAGAGCCACTCATTTTCCTCTGAGACAAAAGAACAGCATAACGCTCACAGCTTTGACCAATCAGGTGCCACATCCACCCACCTGATGGAGAACAGTCAGACCCTGAATACGAAACAGACTGAAGGATGTCCGGCGCTCGTATTCTGACCGTGTCTGTGCTTTCGGCTCATTACGCCTCCCGATCGTTCACAAGTAGTCGTCCAACCACATAGCAGCTTCAGTTTGATGCCAGCTGATGGAGCTGACTGGAAGGTGAAGAGTCAGTGAACGACTTTGTGCTGGAACAAACAGGCTCTGTCTCTTTTGGCGTTTAGAGCTCGTTGTAACTTCCTGTAATCCCTCCAGAAACATCTGCAGTGTTTCATAGCACAAACAAACCAAAGACTCTGTTTGAACCCGACTGAGACGAGCTCGGCTCTTTGGGTTGAATCGTGCTGAGGATGTTCGGGAAGTTTATCAGGGAAGCCGACTGGGAGCCGACACTGGGGTGGAGCTGAACCTGCTGGAGTCAGATGGACATAAACAAAAACATATAAAAGTAAAGCAGACAGCGCCATCACAAAGCTCCTCGCCTGTCAAGTAACACGTGTAATTATTACTGTTACTGCAGTCTGCTGCTGTTGCTGAAAGCTGCTCTTATTTCACCTGATCAGGTCGTGGCCGAGCTTGGTGTGGAAACACAGCAAGTAGTCAAGCGTCAGTGATTGATCCTCGCGCGGCGAGGGTCGAGTCTCCTCTCGCTAACCGCCTCAGACATCATGTGACGTAGACGAGATGGAGTTTGAAACAGTTGTTAATAACTTGGTAACGTTAGAAAGGAAAGCTGTGATGATGATGACGATGGAGAGAGGACGGCAGCTCTGACCACGTCCATAAAACAGGAAGTTGAGCAGGTGCAGGCAGAGCACTTTCAGATTAAAAGCCCTGTTGACAGGTAACCACGTCACTCACTCAGGTGTGTTATGGTTACTTCAGTGAAGATGTCGGCCTGCGCCTCTGTTAACAGTCCGAGTGGCCCAGAGGACGAGGCTGGTAGTGGGTGTGGAAGTGTGGCTGGTGGGCGGGGTCATTTACCTGAGACAGGTGAAGAGTGCAGACAGGCAGCAAAGTGGTGTGAAATAAAAATGCTCGTGTATTACTAATGATGACCTTTGACCTTTCTCCAGCCGTTGCTCTGAAATGTTGGCACATGCTCGTGTCTCCTTGGAGACCTACTCTGAGGTCATGACCACACAGCTTTCTTCTGACAGGACGTTTCCTGATTAGCGCTCTGATGTTCGATGATCAGCGGCGTTCTCGGGGACGACAGTCGGCTCGTTCGGGTCTCATCGGGGCTACGTCGGCTCAGTCAGTGGAAATGTGTTTGACGGCAAAGAGAAGAAGCTTCTGGGTGGTCCAGATGCTTGATGTGCAGATGTGGGTCGCTGTCAGGAAAGCTCGATGTATTGATCCTCCGAGTCTTCCTGTCTGTGATGGTGTCCTGCTCAAACCTTCAGTCCTGCTGTTCAACTCTGAAATTCTTCCCCGTGTCACCAAACTGAGGGACTATTTTTTATCAACTGATGCTCCAAAGCAGCCAGCAGAGAGGTGAAGCCGTCAGTCAGCTGTGACCTGACAGTCTGATCAGACTGTGGCGCCTCGTCGCTGCTCAGCGTTTGAAGTTTGCTCACTTACAAAGTAAGAAACACTCATTTTTATGGCACTTTCATTTTAATGGAGAGAGAAAGACGAGCATCAAACAAACATCCAGAAAATCACATCA